GCTAATCAGCCTGAAGCAGCTTGTCAAACACCAGGTATTTACAGAGCGCGCGGCTCATCACAGAAACATTGGCGGTCTGAGGTCAGTGAGCGTGAGCAGCTGCGGTGCACAAGGTTACTCTGCTCAGCGTTCATCTTTAAGCAGAGACCGAACTTGCAGCAAGACATGCTATTTATACAAATTAAAGCTCAGCAGGACAAAGGGGCTAATAGCCCTGTTCACACAGAAACTATATCATCTTTAATGACTAGGCACATCCAGAACTTCTATTAGAACTTTTATCTCAATAGCAGTAAATGCCTATTTTAAGAAATGCTTTAGGATCATCATCCAAGAAGGGCTGCTAGATAAGAGTACTGCAGTTTATAGAGCATTTTATAGAGGAGTGCTGCCTTCTGAATGACACCATAAAAAGAAAGCTGGACATCTAATACGGTTGAAAGTTCCTAGGCTACATCCATGCTGCATCTCATAGCACTGTGCTGTTCTCATTACAAATGATGATTTAATTTGAGAACTAACAACACAAACGATTCGACATTAGATGCATTATCCAATTATTCTTTGGATATTTTAACCTCCTCGTTAAAAGTATTATACTTTCTTTCCCTGCCTTTACCTTAGCTAGACAGAGATTACAGATCTTTTCTACGGGGAGAGGGGAGGATGCAAAAAGAAGTCAGCACTTAACATGCTAGATGTTTAGTTGATGCAGTGCTCTAACTTTAAAAAAAAAAAGTTTTTAGTATAGGCACTTCTCACTACAAAAAAAAATAGGTGAGAATGACTTATTATTCTTTTGACTTAACTAAGTAAAGCTCTGTAAGGGTTGAAGGGCCCCAAGATCTACAACAAAACATGGCTGATACGGGCGATAAAATACTGCATTCAAAAAATACATCATCTTCCCAGCGAAGAGAATGCTGACATTTAAATACCAGGAGAAATAAAATTAGCTGTAAATGTGAAAAGAAGCAAGAGGGCATTTCTATGTGACCCCTGCAGAAAGGTGCAAGGAAGTATGTATCCTGATTTCGTAGGAGAGCTGTCAAATAAAGCACCTACATCTGCGGCATGGGGCTGGACAAGAAGTCTGGTACCAACTAGTGCAAGACATTTGGGAACTAACGGCCAGTGTTTGGCTCGCTGGTCTGTTAGGAAAGCAAACAAAGCAGCTCATCAGCACGGTTCTCTGGGCAGTATAGGAATTAGTTCTAATGATACCCAAGTATCTCTAGAGAGGAGAGAAACAGCCACCAGAGCTGTGTCGTAGATTCGGGGTTCAAAGAATGAGAGCTTCATGGTTCTGCCCTGCTGAAGCAGAACTGGGATTCTTCCTGCAAGATCTCAAACTATATGTAAGGTTCATGGAACATTTGGAGATTCACAATCTTACTTCTCAAGCTCCAAATGCCAGCAACAGTTGACTCACTGGAGCCTAAAGTAGAGCAGAAAGCATCAGGCAAGGTTTTCTGTCAGGAATCTGTAATTTCAGGGGGGAAACTGGGACCTTGGAGCTCAGCTCCTGACATGTCTGAGGGCTGTCATTTGACCACCACCATCTCCTCATTTTTGCAGGAGGGTCTCTGGTGATTACCTGAGACCTGCTAAGGCGTAGCGCAGTATTTAGTTTTAGAATCATTCTTGATGAGAATTACAGCAAATATTTTACTTACAAAAATGCCTCGGTACCCTCAGGTTAGCTGCCACCAGCTGCCCTGAACAGTAAGGAAATTCTTTAAACTTAGTTCCACCAACCTCATTCAACTGCTCATGTCCTGTAGGTTGCAATGCCAGCATGGCTCCCTGTTAAGTGCCAGTATCCGGGCATACGTGTAGCTCAAAGAAGACGCTGTCTAATTTTACACTGAATAACAACTAGAAGGAAATAACCTTTGGTCTAGGTTTGAAACCCACAGATGACTGTTTCCCCCTCAACCAAGTAATCCCTTATGTAAACTGATACCTCACTGCTTTAGCCTTACGTGTAGGCTGTTCACAGGTGAAACCAACATCCTGGCCACACGGCTTTTTGCTTTGTCTCCCTATTCCTGTAACGTCCATTTTCATACCGTTACCTTTATTTATATGCCTTTGTCTCCATTCTCCTCTAAACAGAAACGTCAGAGACAGATGTTCAAAGGGGAACTGCCACATGTGGCTCTTCAGTCAAAAGCTTTATTCTTTCTCACAAGATTATGCAGCAGAGAAGAATACTAGGCTTATCCAGCAGTTTAACATCCAAGCACCATGCCTTACACACCCCACTACCCCACTGGTATTTATGGTCACCTTCTCTGAGGAGGACACATCAGCGATGGCACCCGATTTGCATGATGCACCCAACTGCAAGAGCCCTCCCCTTCGCACCCTGGGACAGCCCAGGGGAACTGCAGGACCCGCACACCACGCTCCAGGCCGGCAGCAGCAGCCCCGCTGCCGGCGGGTACCTGTCACCCCGCAGGTGCCCACGAGCACCTGTGAACACCTGCCCTACAGTACGCGTTTCCTGCATGGGAATTTAGCGCGTGTGTCTGTTTGACACCCACATACACAAAGGGGAAAGGAGCAGAAGCACCTGACACATACCAGGCATTGCTATTGCTGCTGGTGAAAGTATATACAGGCTGCTTCCATCACCTCCCTCCTCTGAGATTTCACTCTGAGCCATGGCTGCTACAACTTAAAGTCATCGTGCTTTCCTTTCAAACAGATACCTACCAATGCAAAATAATTACTCACGATTCCTATCCCAGAGTGAAATTAAGAAGACCAGAGGGAAGAAACAAGACAGGCTGTCACTGTAAGGAGAGGGCTGTGAGCAGCTCCCATCCCAGCTGTACGTTCCCGGTTACCTGACTGTGCCCCACAGACCGGGCTCCTTGTCCCTACCACTCTTCCCAAACTTCTTTCTTAATACAGGTCCCAAATCCAATCTCTGAGAATGTCCTGTGTGAAGCTCCAGAAAAGCCTCGTTGAATCATACAGGTAAACAAGAAGCACATGGAAGCTTTTGAACCTTTTCACAGAGTGCCTTTGGTAAATAGGCTTGACTGCCAAGAAAACCTCCACAGAACATCCCCTTCAACGACCAAGAAGCTTCACTGCAAGCAGGTATTTTGAGCACATTAATAAGCAACTATAAAAAGATGTCCACAAAGACAGCACTCTGTTTCAAGGCCAAGCCTACAAGTCAAACTCCAGTATCCTACAATTACTTAAAATTAACCTCCACTTTGCCTTCTTAGTAGGTTAGTCAGAAACCTGGGGAGAGGGAAAGGGAGGGAACAGTTCTAAATTTTAAGGTGCGTCACTCATTCTTTAAAGTTTATGGATTTTTTTTTAAGAGGAGACTAGAGTATATTCTAGCAGAAAAACTGTTTCACATAATATTCCAATGAAATCAAAGGCTCTGTAGTTCACTATATGGTTAAGTGTTGACTGATAAAGAGGCAATTTTTTCCTGCTGATAAGGAAATAGATTTATTTCATAACTGATAAATGACTTCCCAGCTTAGGAACTACCTTACAAAAGCCAGCACTGCCAGCTCCGCTGGCTTAAAAACAAAATTAAGTAATTCCTGCTGACCAGCAGTTACATTCTGTACTTCCCTAAGGTCTAAAAATGGTGTCAGTTCAAAGGTCCATCCTCTCATTTTGTTTGTCAGGCCGAAGTATACAGACTAAACCAGAATCTGCTTCTACATACCCCGTACTACAACCACCAGCACAATCATCAGGTCTCAACTTTTGTGCGAATACAGCTCAGAAAAGTTAAGATTATGCAATACCATTTAAACAAAATAAGGTGATCTGTATGATCCTTCCAGACATCTAAATACAGCCTGGTTCATCTGAATGACTTATTTCTTGCCACAAGGAGGTTTCCACCAGGTCAGGCCATACCTGCAATAATTTGGAGATGCTCTAAACTTCATTTGCATAGGCAGCTAATTTTCAGCTGAGGCAGTAATTTACCATGTTTTTCCCCCTCGCAACGCCACACCACTTTTGAGATCTGTAAGCAGGCAGTTTGTAGGCTAAGTCCAAAGTGTCCCTTTTCTACCTGTTCACTGACACGGAAGGTTTCTCTGCTCCCACCCAACCGGCGGGCACGACTCTGGCAGTGCCCTCAGCACCACGGCTCTAACAGGAAAGAAAGACGCGGTGATTTGCAAAACCCCCGACCCTTCCTCGCAGACAGCAAAACTCACAGGAAAACTACCACAGCGGGCCGCGGGGCCTGAAGTTCTAACGAGCGCGGAAGCACTTTGGCTTTTAAAGGCACCGGCTGGCGATGTCGGCGGGCCGCATCCTTCCCAGCCTCCAGAAGCGAGCCGGGCCTGCCGGGCCCTGCCGCGGCGGCAGCAGCCCCCGGTGTCAGCGAGCAGCCGGGCCACAGCAAAACGGAGACACGAAGCCGCAGCCAAAGGCTGAGCCCGGCCCCCCCTGCCCCCCGCCCGGCCCCAGGACCCCCCGGTACCTGCGCGGGGGCGGCTCATCCCGCGCGGAGGCCCGGCTGCCCGAGGGGGGGCCCGCCGCCCCGCGCCCCCGCCGCGCCCCGGCGTCTCCTCAGCGCCTCGCCCGGGGACGGAGCGGGGAGGGCGAGGGGGTTGAGATCCTCGCGGCCCCGCTACCGGCGCCTCAAAGCGCTGCGGACGCCGTGAGGGCTCTGGCCAGCGCCTTCCTCCTCCTCCTCCTCCTCTTCCTCTTCCTTCTCGCTCCCGGGCCGGCGGCGGGGATCGCGGCTGCCGCTGCCTTCAGAGCCGCGGCCTCCGCCGCGCCGCCATCGCCGCCGCTGTTTGTTTTCATCCGCTGCGGGTGGAGGGAGGGAGGGAGGGAGGGGAGGAGGAGGAGGAAGAGGAGGTGGAGGGAGGTGCCTGCATGTCCGCGGCGGCACTTTCCACACGCCGCCGCCGCACCCCGAGCCGCACGGGGCAGGCGGGGCCGGCAGCCGGGGCCGGGGGGAGGAAGGGGCAGCGCCCGCCGCCGCTCCCGCCGGGAGCCCCTGCGCTGTGGCGAATCTGCCGCGGCCATAGGCGGGGGGGGGGGGGGGGGGTGTCGGTAACGGCGCCGCTGCGGGGCAGCGCGGAGGCGGCCTCGGGCGTGCGGGGGGAAGCGGCTGGAAGCGGCGGGAGGCCGGTGCGGTCGCTCCGCCGCCCCTCAGTGCTGAGCGGGAATCCCGGTGAGGGCAGGGGGACGGCGGGGACGCCCAGAGAGACGGGACCGGCCGTTCGCGGCTCTGACGGCGCCGGTGTGAGCGTGGCCGGCTCGGCGGAGGTTGGGGGCGGTCGCCGGGCCCGGCGGGTTGAGGCGGGGGGGGGCTGCGGTGCAGCGGCCCCGGCTCGGTAAGAACGTTCCCGCCAGGGCCGGGCAGCGGGAGCAGTGAGCCCTCCCGCTCCACCCCCCCCCCCCCCCCCCCCCCGTTTTTAAAAAGCAGATCCAACGAAGCGAAAAGATTGTTTTTACGGGATAACCCGAGTAACGGGAAACTGGCTAACAAGAGCCTGGGCGGCCGACCAGTAAAAACCACGCTGAGCCTCTTTGCTTTGTGCTGGTGAAGGCTCCGGGCCGGCTCGGCCGCGGAGGAGCCATGGCCGTACCTATCGCGGTTCTTGACTGCGACCTCTTGCTCTATGGCCGCGGGCACCGGACTTTGGATCGCTTCAAGCTGGAGGATGTCACGGATGAGTATCTAGTATCCACATACGGCTTCCCCCGACAGTTCATCTACTACCTGGTGGATCTCCTGGGAGCCAGTCTCTCTCGCCCTACGCAGCGGTCCAGGGCCATCAGCCCGGAGACACAGATCCTTGCTGCGTTGGGTTTCTATACCTCTGGCTCCTTCCAGACTCGCATGGGGGATGCCATTGGCATTAGCCAAGCCTCCATGAGCCGCTGCGTGGCCAACGTAACCGAGGCGTTGGTGGAAAGAGCCTCACAGTTTATTCACTTTCCTGAGGATGAAGCTACCGTGCAGAGCCTGAAGGATGACTTTTACGGGCTGGCAGGCATGCCGGGCGTGCTGGGGGTGGTGGACTGCACCCACGTGGCGATCAAAGCGCCAAATGCTGAGGACCTGTCCTACGTGAACAGAAAGGGTCTCCATTCTCTGAACTGCCTGATGGTGTGTGATGCCAGAGGAGTCCTCCTGAGCGCAGAAACGCACTGGCCGGGCAGCCTGCCCGACTGCACAGTGTTACAGCAGGCAGCCCTTACAAGTCAGTTTGAAACTGAGCTGCATAAAGATGGCTGGCTACTTGGTAAGTCAATTTTTCATTGTTGTTTTCTGTGGAAAGTCTATTACGTATCGTCTCCTTATTGAGTCTAGAGCCTCTGGCCGCAAGTGATATGTTTACTTCTGACTGCTTTCCTGAAAATCTTTCTTGGAATCTTCCTTGAGATTCGCAATTCAGTTTGGACGATCCTTCTTTTAGGAGTCTAGAACAATAACTCCTAATCTGTATTTTATACAGGGTGATGATTGTACGTGTTAGTTTACATGCATTCTGTTAAGAGCTTGTTTTCCATATCCTACACCTTTCTAAGCTGATTTATGCAATTTTTAATTCTATGTAGAGTCCTGGTCCAGCTGTCTTTCACTGTATTGCGAAGTAAATTAATTCTCTTAAAACTCTTTTGTGTTCTTCCAGGATTTCCCTGTGTAAAACCGAGTGCCTTTATTTTGTTGTGTTTTTTTCACATTTGTAAACCTGAGTGATTGTTACTCTTTCATGCTTCCTCATGCGTTCTGTTTCAGCCAGAGAAATAAGCTATTCTGTATCTGCGGTACCAGAAAACCAAGGGCCGAGAGCTGAAATCTGTGGTTAACTGTAGGTATGTAACGTGTCCTCCTCCTCTTCCCTCCCAACAGGTGACAGCTCCTTCTTTCTCCGAACATGGTTGATGACCCCTCTGCATATCCCCGAGACACCTGCTGAGTACCGCTACAACATGGCTCACTCTGCCACTCACAATGTCATCGAGCGGACGTTCAGGACCATTCGGTCGCGTTTCCGCTGCCTGGATGGGTCCAAAGGCACCCTGCAGTATTCTCCAGAGAAATCCAGCCACATCATTCTGGCCTGCTGTGTGCTCCATAACATCTCCCTGGAGCACGGGCTGGACGTGTGGTCTTCGCCGGCCACAGGGCACATGGAACAACCGGAAGAAGAGTACGAGCAGATGGAATCAATGGACTCAGAAGCATGTCGAATTCGTCAGGAGCTTTTACTTACTCACTTTAGCTAATGTTGTGACAGAGAAAAGGCTTCTAACGGTTCATCTGTGGAGATACACGGAGAAAATACGCCCTTTCCTCTCCAAGTCTGTGAAGATTAAGCAGGTGTGAGACAAGGAGATATTTTAATCTCCATTTCAGGCCATAATCTGAACTTCTCTCGGTCTCTCCAGAGATGCAATTTAATTGCTAAATTTTTACTGTTGTGATGTTTAGAGTCTCCCCTTGCACCTGACTTAGAGAACAAGGACTAACGTGAGATCGGTGGAGAAACTTGGGAAATTGTCTTTGATAATGATGAAAAATCTGTAAGCCTTGCACTGTTTTACAGAGCAACAATTCTATGCCACTTTGTGACCCAAAACAGTTACAATTGGTCTTTAAACAGTATTTCACAAAAATTAAAACTTCCATCTGGGCTCATGTCTACCATGAATTCATGAGTGGCAAAGCAAACATTTATCTTTCTGTTTGCAGGTATAAATCCTTGCTAAATAACATTTGGCAGGTTTGCACATCTCACACACCCCAGCGATTCCTGTTAAAGCTGTCGGCTGTGTCCTGGGAGGGGTCTGGCTCTTTGCTGGGTCCACACTAGTGCTTCTGTGTAACTAGGAGGTCAGGAAGGGTTGAACGCTTCTTCTTTCCCAAACAGACCAGGGAAGATGTTAAGTGATGGTTGACTCTGTCAGATACTTAACAGATTTCAGGAAATGGACTAGTGAATCTATGTCTAGTTCTCACTAGATATGGCTGCCACAACAGGAAACTACTCATCTTGTTGGCTGCTGTAAAAGAAATGCCAAGGACTGGCGGCATCACAAAACTTGAACTGATTGCAAAATTTCTCCATTTAGATCAGAGCTGAGGTACAAAAAGGCTGCTTTACCACTGCTGGCCATCTTACCTATTTGGTGGAAAAAGACGACTAACGTACGCAGTTGTTGCTGGCACGTGACTGGGAAGCTTCCTGGCAATGTTCTCCTTCCAAAAGATGTGTTTCCAAGGATCTCATGACAGCAGTCTGAGAAAATTTTGTTTCTTAGATTTTTATTGTTTACTGGGCAGTAAGTGAAACAAAAGTGGTAGGAAATGCAGAACGCTGGGAAAATGTAGCTACTTAAAGTAGCAGTGCAACCATCTGGCACCGCAGGTCTGTCCTTTTAGAGGAAATGAGCCTGGATCATGCTCCACGTTTGAAGAACAAGAGAGTGTGGGACACGTTCCTAACTGTAGGATGGAGCTGCAGGGTTAGATACAGTTCTGTTGCCAGGTTTGCAATGGCAGTAAGCATTTATTATCGTACAGAAAACCAAGCATGCGTTGTGATGTATAAGCGAGGTGTTTTCGTAAGCCTCGATAAGAACTGTAACACATTATGTACAACAATCTGAGATGTAATTCTATTTTCTTTACGCATCTTCCCATGAGGCATCACGTAAGAACTGCTATTGCTCACTGTGGCAAAAACCCTGCTCCTTTTACTTAGGAAGAAGCATACAAGCACTGTTTTCTAAAAAAAAAGGCATTTTTAAGATGTTGTTGCTGTATACAGTGCCTGATGGCTCATCAATCTGACAGACTATGCTAAAAATACTGATCTTTAGACCTAAGCAGCAGCAGCCACTGAATGAACTGTGTGGGTGACGCTAAGGTCAAGTGAGACTCGGACACGTGTAGGTACAAACTCTGTCATGTAATAACGAGCTCGAGTTTCTCAACTTATGCTATGAATAGCTCTTCTCAGCGTGTGCCCAGACCAGAGTGAACTCAAAGCAGAGGCGCTTCCCGGAATGCACTTGCTGCTGGGTTTTGCCTTCCTTCAGCTGTCACCTTTGGTAGAGTTTCATTTCAAAACTGATCTCCCTGCTTATCGGTTTGGGGAAAAACAGCATCAGGCCACGCCACAGAACACCAGTCCGCCCAAAACTACTGTTCTTTCCTGAGTCAGATGACAGTACCCTCCCTCCAGTTCACTTGGGGAATGGAAACTCTCTCATCTAGAGAACAGTTTGCCCCCTGTACTTCTAAGCAGCTTCCTTCAAAACGATTCATCTAGACTTTTTTCCCTCAGCTTCAGACAATACTTAAATCTGACAGCTGAGATTCATGTTTCTTTCCCGCTTCCCAGCTCCTTGGTACTTTCACCCCATCTGGCCAGCTGCATTCCGGAGCACTTACAAGTTTGCGTGCTGTCAGAGCTTCGAAAAGTCGGGTCTACCCTGACCATATGTCTCATAAGTCTCAATCATCTGTTGGAGGATGACAGCGACTGACTGACCAAGGTATTGCAGTTTTCACCACTTGACTAAACTCCTTGTAAAATCCCACCATTGGCCCTTTTCAGTTTTCTCTTAAAATACCTCCTGGAAGACCACCTAGCTACGCGGCAGGCTGCCTTTGCTTCCCCCCATCCTGCCTATTTACAGCAAACTTCAAGGCCTAAACTTCACCTGTCTTTTTGACTCTTTTTCCTTTGCAAGATTTACTGCTGCAAAGCACCTTGGTTTACTTAGATTTTCCTCTCAAACTCCAAGTCCCTTCCCGAGTTCTCACTTCTCCAGCACAGGCGAGGCAGCAAGACACAGCTACCTGTACCGTACCGCTGCCTCCCGCGGGCTCCTGGCAGCGAGCCCCACGTCCCAAGGGGCTACCTATGCATTTTCCACCTTTGCTGTCCACAACGTTGGGGATTAATATATAACAATAAATATTAACACGCTTCTATTCCAGAAAAAATGATCTTTTCCAGTTACATCTGATAGCCGTATCTTCTTCCTCTCCAAATGCGTTTCACTCTGGTACCACCTATCTTTCCCTGCCTGTTTTTAATTGCGTTTTTTTTCCACTCTGTACCAGTCTTGAGGGGTTAAAAAAAAAAAAGAAAAAAAAAAAAGACACGAGGCGTGGAGGGCGTGCTGTCGGGTGAGATTCCTGCAAAACAGTCCACGCGAAGGAGGGAGCCGGCCCCAGGCCTCCCCGTGGCGGGCAGCAGGCGGGGCCCAGCCCCGGGGGGTTTCGCGGGGCCCGGCCGGCACACCCCGTAACCCTTCCCGTGAAGGTTCCCGGTGCCGCTCCCGGGGATCCCCGGCACCGGCGGGCCCCCGGCAGCGACCCCCTCCGCGCTCGATTCGTCTCGCCTTGCCCTCCGTCGCCCCCGGGCGGCGGCGCACGGCAGCGCGGTTGGAGGAGCTCTTCGCTCGGCTGGCGCGGCCTGGCGGCGTTCTAGCTTCGGCTACTCGGGCCTTGCCATTAGCTCACGGCGCCGCTCTTCGGGTCTGGCTCGGCACTCGGCTGGCTCGCCTGGCCGGAGCTCGGAGCGGCGGCGGCGGTGGCGGCGACGACCGAGCACCGGGGGCCGCTCCGCCCGCCCCGGCCCCGCTCCCGCTCCGCCCGCGGCCCTTCCGCACCAGGTAGGCTCCGGGCCTACGTGCTCGGCCCAGCTCCAGGCCGGGGCCGCGCCGCCGCTCCCCGGCCGGGCGGGGTCGTTCCCGCGGCGGCGCCCCGGAAGGCGGCGGGTACCTGCCCCGAGCGGGGCCGGGGAGGAGGAACTGGGGCTCGCTGCTGGGGCCTTTGTTCGGCACCTCCGGGACCGCGGCCTGGGGGCGGGGGAGGCCGGCGCGGCGGCGGCGGGCCCCGCTCCCGCTCTCGCCGGCTGGGGCGGGGAGGCCGCGGCCGGTACCGGGTACCGGGGGGCTGCCCCGCGGCCGCCTCGCCGCAGCGCTCCCCAAAACCCGTGCCCGGAGCTTCCCCCTTCCCCTTCGCCGCTCCCCTCGGGCAGGCCGGGGCCTCCGCGCTCCGGGTGAGGTCAGGCTGCGTTTCGGGGCTGCGCTTTGGAAACCCTGAACGTCGCTGCCGTTTGTTTTTCTCGGCCGTAGCCAAATAAAACGTGAGGGAAGCGGCGTTTTCTCTGTCTTCCCTTCGGGTCTGCATCGCGTGTGGCAGAGCGCTTGCTTGGGCGAGCAGCAGTTTGCACAAAATACATTCGCCTGTGCCTCCGGTACCCTGACACTCGGTTACTTCTTTTCTTGCGAGGGGCCATACCCAGTCACCTCGCTAGCTGTGGGAACGTTTTTGATTTCACCAACAACATTCTTCCGGACAGCACATCGATTTCTGTGGCGTTTGTTGAGATTTTTTTTTTTTTTTTTTGACATTACTTCTGCTCGTGCGAGTACCATGCTTTCTGCTGTCTGTGGATGGCCATTTTTGCAGCACAGTTCCAGCACTAAGCCAGCATTTCATCTCGGATAGATGTTTTAAACAGTTACACGTAATTTTTCCAGTACATGCTTTTACAGCATCATTCTGTTGTAAGAGAGCGGTTCAAGGATAGCTGTTACCTAGGTGCAGGCCAGTCCTCAGGAAGATCAGCGGTGTGAATGTAGAGTCCATGTAAATACGTTCAGCGCTCGTTGCTGCTCCATTTTTGCCTCGGTATGAAACGTTCTCAGATCTTTATATAAAAACCCAGGGTGTTTTTCTATATTTGTCCTTGTTTACTGCTCCACCCAGTTTGGTGTCCTCTGCAAATGTCATCTGGCTTCTTTGCTTTTGCCACTCCCATCCTCTTTCAAATTGGTAATGGGAATGTTAAAATGGGACCTAAGAGTGACCTGGTAATGTTCGCTTACTGCCAGTCCATTACCTGACTGTTTCATTTTGTTGTTGGGTCAGTTTTCAGACTGTGGCATGGGGTTAAATCCAGGCAGATTTGACTGTTTTATGGGTGATGTAGACAACAGCACCTGAAAATCTCAGCTAAGTTTAAAATCCTCGTTTGTGTTCTGAAAGGCTGCTGTAATGCAATTTCTAACATTCATAACTCTTCAGTATAGCTCACTTCTGTGGTCCACGATTGGTGTTGCTGTAGATAAATATTTTTTAAATTGGTCCATTTGTGTTTTGATGATAACAAATAAGAACCTTGTACTCATCTACCGATTTGTGGCAGTGTGGATGTTAATGATGACTACGGCAGTCCGTTAGCATTTGTATTTTTTCTAATATGTGGAATGAAGAATATATTTGGATCCGAATATCTGGACTTGCCTTTTCAGATTTAGTTGCTGGGGAGTTTACGCAGAATGTTTACTTTGCTGACAACTTCTTAGTTTTCTTTCTTTTGCCCTTTTCTGAGTCACAACTGACCCTCTGGATTCTTGTTGGGTTGTTTCCTACTTTGCCATTTTCTGTGCAGTACTTTTAACTTTTGTGCAGCTATAACAACCAGTTATAAAGAAGGCAAGCAATGATAGTGGCTGCTAGTATTCCTTTGCCATAAGTTAGGCATTTTAATACTTCTTTTTATGCATCATAATTTTTTATGAAACTTGTGGGGATTAACTTTAGTACTTTTTATGCCATAGTTAGCAAGCTAATTGAATTCAGGGTTTTTACAAAGTTATTGTTGATGTTATACTTATTAGTACTATT